GGCAGTTGTGGTCCTTACTCTATATAATTTATGGAACATCTAAAGCATATATCCAAGCTTCAACTCCTGGAGATTTTTCCTCACTATGTCTGGGGTGGGGTTCAAGCATCTGTGTTTAACTGATGATTTTTATTTTTATTTTCTTTTTTTTAATTTTTAAAAAGAAACCTATTTAAAGGTTTCTGAAGAATACTTTAGGTTGAGAACATCTGAGAACATCACTGCTTTTTTGACTATAAAAAGCTGCAGGCCTCTCTGCTCTGTGTCTTGTGTTCTTTCTTTGAGGACTGTTTGTGGGGAGTTCCATTCACCACTCATGTCCACCTCAGCCATCGGGATGCCTGGCAGACTCCCAGGCTCGGTGCTTTTCCTTGTGAACCTTTACAGGAACCCTTCTCAAACTTGAATTACATCAGACTTACCTGGAGGGTGATTGCTGGACCCCACCCCCAGAATCCCTAATGAAGTAGGTCTGGGATGGGAACTAATAGTTTGCATTTCTAGTAAGTTCCCAGGTGATGCTGATGTTGCTGGTCTCTGGCCACACTTTAAAAACCTCTGCTAAGAAGTATAGGACCTGTTATTTAAACTTTGCCTCAGAAATTGTCCAAGATTCTCCCTCCACTTCAGGGAACAACAGCAGCAGCAAATGAAAACAAACAAAACTCATCCGTTTTGCCCAAGATAAGAGTAATTGATTTTGATAGAAATTCTAATAGCTGTTATTTTACAGGATAGTAACTGGGTAGGGAGTACCAGGGGACTTCTGGGATGCTTGTAATATTCTATTTTTTTTATCTGAGTGGTGGTTACATGATATATTCCCTTTGCAAAAACAAAAATACACTTGAAGGCTGGCCTGTTAAATCAGTTGGTTGGAGTGTGGTGCTGTTAACACCAAGGTCCAGGGTTTGATCTTTGTACCTGCCAACCACCAAAAAAAAAAAAAAATACATTTGAGCTTTGCACCTACAATCTGTGCACTTTTCTGTCTGTATGTTACACTTCAAAGGTTGACTTAAATATTAATAATAATAAGTGCTGTCAAACTCTGGAAGAAATGCGCCTCCACATCACTAGCCAGTACCTCTGTTTGCAAGTCTGCTTTCTCCTATGGGCATGCTGGCAACCCAACAAAGAAAATTATTCTTTCTTTGTTTTCTTTTTTGCTGGCATCATCTATGTGTGTGTATGTGTGTGTGCATGTGA